AGAGGAGGTTGCAGTTCCCCCTTCTGGGCGGGGTGGCTGAGTACTCGATGCGGCTTCTGAGGACTGTCGAGGCCTGCTATTCCCCCTATCCGTTACTCCATGCAGTCGGCAGTTTGAGTCTGCACGCTCATGTTGTTTGCGGAAACCTGTGGTGCATATACCATCCCCGAGCTTACAAAGCTTGCACTCCTTCGCCATCCCCAGGTAGGTTGATCTTCACTATCTTATCCTTCCTGCCAAAATCACGTCCTGGTAGTTGAAGGTCTCCCCCACCCAGCGTCCGGGTAGTGAGTGATCGGCGTGATGGCAAACAAAAGGGAGTCGTGGGGGCAGTGGAACGGGCTCTCCCCGGCAAGGGTGCTGAGGATGAAGCTCTTGCAGTCACGGAGATCCCCTCAAGGTCGTAGTGTGCGATCGTCACCTTCACGGATATGGCGCACGACCAGGGACCTTCCCCCCACAGGGCCTCTGAAGCAAAGTGGCAGCAGGTATGAGACTCAAGCCTCCCTCCGCTTGAAGGAACGTCCACCCTCCAAGGTAACTGGGGACAGCCAGTTGCCTCAGAGGGCCGTCCTCAAGCGCCCCCCCACAAGGGGGAGAGCGGCAGGTCGACTTGAGCCAAAATGGCTATTGTCTCTCTCTCTCTCTCTCCCTCTCGCTCTCTCGCTCTCTCGCCCCCCGGGTGAATTCTGCAAAACAACACTGCGGCGTGCCCTGAGTTCGAACCACCAGCCATCGCGCTGAGCGCGACCTTGCAATGTGCGTTGCGGCACTGCACTTCGAAGGGCTGGTATGGTACCCCTAAGCCGAGGTCCAAACTCGCTTGGCTGGCATTCACCGTCTGGAGCAGAGGGGAGCTGATGCCGCCAGGCACACCAATGGCAGCACGGTAATCGGCACCTGCTAGCTTCTGCTTCTGACATGATGGGCAGCACCGTCCTACGCCCGTGGCCTATGTCCATCACATCCACGCGGTCTTTCCCCACGAATAGAGACCAGAAGACTGCTCCGAAATCGGGCAGCGTGCCTAGGAAAAGAGATGCACCTTCAAAAGGCGCTGCGTAGTTAGCGCTACCGTCCACCGACCGACCCAAAACAAACGGAAAAGGAAACAACAATGTGCCAATCAGTATCTAATAGTATGCTGTCGACGTTTGTTTAGAAATCTCGCGCAATCTTCGCGACTTTGTGCCCGTGAATCGCGCAAGCCGCACACAGATGAGAATGACTGATGGCGATGAATGCTGAGGACAATGACTCTGATGCGCTTCTTGCATGCTGGTATGCGAGTGCGACTGTTGGCAGTACCACTGCTCTTATGCCGTTCTGGCCTTACGTACCGCATACTTTTCGGTTGTATTTCGTTGAACAGCTTGCTTGGTTTGATATTCTTTCGTAGTCTATAACGACCGTTGTCATTCTATGCTCAAGTTCGGTTGCGTTCCCGAAAAGTAAGCCTGAGCACGTGATTTAATGGCTTTCGTTCGGAACTCTTAAGCAAGCGAGCAGGAGAGTGAGGACAGTGATCATGATCACTATCTTCATTCGCTTTGGAGTTCCGTGGAACTGTATCACATCCTAAGGTCCAAGCTCCTAGCAACCGTTTGACATGTACATATGCATGCATACATACATACATACATACATACATACATACATACATACGTACGTACATACATACATACATGCATAGTCCTATAATAGATATATATATATATATACATTCACGCATTTTAACATAAATACATATGTACATTTACAGATAAATACATAGGTACACAGATACATATATACATATGTACATAGAAAAGGGAACATATCAACACAGCATAGCACCCGTTGACATACGATGACAAAGTCCACGCAGTAGGTGGAAGACACGCATCGCGATAGCGCGACATAGTCTTCAGCCCACGCACTCGATACTCATCTCGACACATGTTTTGCCGGAGGCAATGTACTGCAAAAAAAGTAGAGTTCTGATTTACAACACTATGATGCCAGCTCATCGTTGCTTCTGCTTCCTCTTTTCGAACTCTCCATCCCAGACTTTTCAAAACAGAGGATGGAGTTGCTCGGCTTCATGTAATTGCCTGCCACCTATCATCTTGTGAAGCTATTTTAGTGCAAACTCATTCCGATTGCATGCAAACTAGGATGCCCACCCGCTGCCTGTAAGACAACAAGACCTATATCAGCCTAGACTGCATCGTAAAATCAACGGATGCCTGATGTCAGCACGAAGGCAACCTTCAAAAACATCGGAGGAGTCAGATGGAAGTTGTTCAATGCTGTCCTGCTAAAGCATGCACCATGGCATAGCAAAGCAGTGCGAGCCGTAACAAGAGTGATCACATCATTATGGCGACCATGGAGCATGGAGCAGCAACGTAATTCTCACTGTCTGATTTGCAGAGATGTCACTCAAGGGTATAGTAAGGCCAACAACCTGACCCAGGCGACTCTCCAACAGCCGGCACAACAAATCTGGAGCACAAACGGCATGGCCTCTGTGTGGCCCAGCTGCGCATAGTCATTGTAGCAGGCTTTGCCATCTGCATTCACACTATTGCCGCCGGCATAGCCTGCTCGCACACGGCGAAAACAGGTGTTAGAAACCCGAGGGCTCCAGCCTGACAATGACGTGTACGTTGAGGCGTTGCCTCAGTGTCTGATCGTAGCCGCCCGGCTTTTGTACTTGACTTGGCTTCAGCTTGGCAAACTCGCCAGGGGGCGGCCCAAAAGGTTGGCTTCCGCCTCGATGAAGGCGTGCTGGACGTGCCAAAAACCTCAGAAAGTTTCGCCCAAAAAAGCGGAAGCCAAAAGCAAAAGAAAGAAGCAGACACTTCAAAAGACTCAAGAAAAAAGATACGCAGAGATCTGCGCAGAGGGCAGCTGAAGGCCGGACAGCCGGAGCCAAAGTAGACGAAGACGCTCTCGTCCTCTGCAGCGCTGAGAGAGCTCAGAGAGGCTCCCGGTGTGTAAAGAGAAAGAGCCGCTAAGGGCTGAAGAGGCCCTGGGTGGGGTCCTGCGCTGAAGCCGCTCTTAACGCCAGCAGCAGGGACAATTTGGCAAACATGGTGCTGACACAGGCTCTCTGAGAAGGATGTCGCTGTGGCATTTGATGTCAACTAGCACCTGTGTGCGATGGCAAGTTTGCCGCAGGTTTGGTGCCTGTCTTGAGAGGCTGAAAGCCTGTAAGCAAGCAACGGCATGAGCTTTCGGCCCCGAACGAATATGCCGAACACTCCGTCAACACTCCACATCCGGGCCTGACCCGAAGCACAATCTTCGCTAAGAGGTGGCCTAGGATGGGCACCTGCAGCGACGGCCGCTTGCCATTAGCCTTTAACATTTTCTGAGTTCATATATATATATATATATGCACATACATACGTACATACATACGTATAGACAGACAGACAGACAGACAGACAGACAGACAGACAGACAGGCAGGCAGGCAGGCAGGCAGGCAGGCAGGCATGCATGCATGCATGCATACAATTATATATAGATAGATAGATAGATAGATAGATAGATAGATAGATAGATAGATAGATATATACACATACACACACACACACACAAAATCCCCTCCGGGCCTGTCTCCAGGCTTCGGCCCAATGCTCGGTCATTGGATTGCTCGGGTCATCCCGGTCGCAGGCGACTGGGGCACAGCGGCGGAAGTGGACGCGGAGCCATTGTGTTCGCATCATTGCAAGGCACAGTATGGCACAGTACAAGTCATGCCGGCTGCGCGTGCGACGAAGGGAAAAGCAAAGTCCTAAGGTCACTGCACTGCGTTCGTGCACGTTATCCTCCGGCATGGCAGAAAACTTAACTTAGAGCTGCACCATGTACAGGTCGACATCCTCCAAGATACCTGCAAAAGAGGGGGATGTGTACGAGTCGTGTTCGCGCTGTGATCCGAAGTCTGCAGACGACCCCTTGCCTAAGATGACATGACGCAGTCGCATCCGGAGAATTCCAAGCTGCCTGATGGATATAAAGGTGCGGCTAGGCTTCGACTCGTCGAACACAGCATCTTGAAGAACCTGGAATTGCTGCAGGCCTCATTACCGACAGCTCCGGCGGGGTAATCAGATCGCGGACAGCTGTCCAAGCTTTCCTGGAGACTGTGAACACGGCATCTGTCATCGAGTCAAAGTCAGAGGCACAGATCCAGGCCAAGGCATGCCTCCTGACTACACAGATGCCTGAACCACCCAAGGCAAATGTGCTAGAAATTTGATTGAGTGGGATACTACTGGGACGCAACTTGCTCGACTGGTGCTCACGGCTGCTCACGATAGCAAAACTCTTAGCATGTCGTTTGCGTCTGCATCGGGTTTCGCACCTCCGGGGAGGTCACTGAGGCTATCACCTCTCTTGGTAGACATGATGAGCCTCCACCAACAGCAGCAGCAAGAATGACCCTGAGCACATGAAAGCTCGGAAGCAGGGCACCATCCATGAAAAGCGAGCCACAACAAGGTCCGGGCAGTTGCTGAAGCCACTTACGCAAGTTGGTCGCAGTGGTGGGATCAAATTCTGGCGACGTGTCAAAGCCACAGGGGCAAGCATGAGACTGTCAGATGCCTGCACTGCCAGGCAGACCGGCATGCCAACCTGCAAGCACACAGTCACGCAACTCTCGCTACAAGAAGCATGTACCTTAATTACGCATCTGCAGATTCATCCAAGACAGTCCGCACAATCTCTTCTAGATGTTGAGCGTCTGCAGCCCTGGGGCTGCGGCCCACAGAAGCAGGGCGTGGAGCGACATGCTACCCTGTTTCGGGCGACGGTGGGTAATGAGCAAGCTTGTAAGAATCCGAAAGTCCCGGGTCCTCCAATTGCGCCATGCTCTTGTTTGCATCCAGAGGCTGCCAAACGACACTCGAAGTCCTGGGATATTCAAACAAGTTGATCCTGATGAAATAAAAATTCCATCATCAAAGTGCAGATAAGCCGCGTCTGCCTGTTCATCTTTGAATACTGCCTGAGATTCGCAGCACTTCCCAAACACAGCTGCACAGTCTCATGGCGACCGGGGGTGGCACCCTCTTGACTCGGCGGACGTCGTTGAGCCCATGGTGTCCACTTTGCGAAACAAGGGACGGAGGGGCTGAAAACTGCAGTCTGGAGTGAAACGGTCTGGAGATGTTCAGGCTGAAATTCACTTGCATGCCCGACTTCGCGACTAGCTTCGTGACAAACCAGTTTGCGTGTCTGTAAAGGGAGGGTCTTTGCCCAAAATACAGCTGCAGCATACACACTGCAGTCAGGCCCAAAGGGGATGAGCCAATAGTTGAGCAGACTGAGTGGGAGGCCGTGAGGCCCTGAAAGAAACAGACAGTCTCCACCAAGATAGCGCCAAGCGAAGCAAATAAGCGCTAAAGCGGGAAAAAGAACCCCGAAAACCCGCAAACCTCAAGGCCGAATGACGGAGGAAGCCCGACAAAGCTCCGGCATAGAGCAATCATGGACGTTACCACAAAGCACAACCTCGTCTCGAGAAGGTGAAACGCAGGACGACTAGGGCGCCCCTCACCACATGGAGAAGTCGAAATCCGTGCGGGCCTTCTTGGACCTGGACTTCATGAAGGAAAGTTTCTACTTATGCGAGAAAAGGCTCCTTGGGGTCGCGGCTTCTGTGCAATGTTCGCGTATTCCAACTCTTCCGATGGCATCTCCTGCGCACTGCAAGCCGGGGCCTACTTCTCTCCCAGACCTGGGAGAGCCCAGGGTGGTAGTCCGTGGAACCTTTCCACAAAAAGGGTACAATTGCGCCAGGGATCCTTACCCTTACATGCTTTGGGGGGCATCCTCCGTGATGTGGCTGTACAACTCTACGAGGCTTCCCTGCCGTCTACCACCACCGAAACTTCCTGGCACGAGGGAGGGGTCAAAGCGTCTGAATGACCAGGACCACTCTCTCTTCTTAGATGAAGCATCCTGGCGTAGTGCAAGCCGAATTCAATAACTAAGCAGTCTACTGAGCTAAAGCCACGGCCGTCAGGTTTTCTCTGGCTCGCGCGGAGCGGTCGTCGCAGTCGGCAGGACGGTGGGTCATGCCACCTTCCGCAGATCATCACCGTCTAGCTAGCAGCCTAGCACCGTAGGTGAAAACTTGCAGACGAGGTAGCCTGCAGCCCCCAGCATGCCTAAAGGCGACGAATCTCTGCCGCTCAAAGCATCCACGCGGTGCAGCATCGATGCGGGTCACGTCGAGACCAGGCAATAAACGGGTTCCTGCTTGCGCAGACCCAGGTCAGAGTTGCAGAATGCCAGCTTCGTAGAGTCGCTCTTTCTGGGACAGCTGTCAGAAATTCCTGCCTCCACCGGGCTTGAAATGTAGATATCTCTGGAAGTCTGCCACACGCTTCTCGCAAGCCAAATGGGCACTCTCTTCGGCCAGGCGGCCGGGCCTCACTTCACACGTGCAACGAGGGCAGGATCTCTAGGGCAACGTCTTGGATCTGAAGAACCCAGCGATTTCCTACATGCCAGGCACACTCTTCCTTGACCAAATCCGTGTATTCTCCCTGTTGCAAGCGTTTCTCCCGCCGGTCGATCATCCAGGAGCATCCTTCCGCCGGCCACCAGTCGACCTTCTGCTTAAAGGCTTAAACAAGACCCGGACTCGCCCACGTGCACTCTGTGCTCCGCTTGTTCACAAAAGCCCCGCCATCGTCACAGCAGGCCCAGTCGAAAGCCAAGCCGACCAAGAAGCTGCATCTCCGACTTATGCATGAAGATGTCGGCCACCCCCTTCAAGCTCGCAAGCGATTGTGCACTCATCAATCAGCTCGCCACATCTCGCCACCAACCTCTGTGGCTGCGACGCGAAAAGGTGAAGCCTCTTATGCTTGATATCAGTCCCCAAAGATCAAGGCCACAAGGTAGCAGCCATCTTTCTGGGCTCCTTGAAAAAAATCTCTATCGGCGCGGGGCCTGACATGTATAGCCGTATAGCCGTCACTGGCAGTCTGCAGCCGCAAAATGCCGCAAATTTCTCTCAAGCCGGACCCCCCGGCTAGCAGCGACGCAGCGCTTCTTCTTTCCACGGTCTGGGTACACCGGGCTGTGCTTCATTGCCAACCCACAGCCGCACGCTCGGGAAGTCTTGGCATGATCTGTAGAGCCCTGCAGGGGTCAGCATGGCCCGGAACCCTCACAGGATCAGCTGCTGCCAGTCGCCAGTTGTTGTTCCACAGCTGGCAGCATTCTGGGCAGGTATGCGCACAGCTATGAGGCCTGGCAGGCACACGACGCCACGCCAGCCGCCCAAGCACCTCGCGCTTCCAGCGCCGCTCTGCTGCAACCATCTCCGGGGTTAGGAAAGGCTCGAACCTATCATCCACGGGCGGAAGCATGTTGCCTGCCGCCACAAGACTGACGGTCGTGTCTCTGCACGGTCGCATACTTCTTGGCATGCTGTGGCTGCGCTTTTTCATCCGTGCCACCTGGCGGTACTCCAGGAAGGTATTCTGGGTGGCAAGATCGAAGTCCACCTCTTCATCGTCTTCGCCTACGTCAGCTGTAGCCGCCCTTGCCGAGGGCTCGTGGGTGCGTGCTGGCGGGGGAGGTGGTCCAGGCGGGAAATCTGTGGGCAGCTTCTCGCGCTCCCAGCAGCAGCACAGCGATGCCTGTGCACCGCCCATGGCTGCGCGCAAGCCCGATACTACCAGGAAACACGCCGTTTACCCTTGTGACTTTTGCAAGCTGCCACGCACCTATAGAAGTAGAGGGCTGCCCGTTGTAAGAAAATGCCCAAGGCATGGTGCACTGGAAGTTGTGTTGCTGTTGCGTGCTCGCTTAGCAACCGCCCCTGCCGCAGCTATCGCGCACACTGAACACTCACGAGAAATGCGATTTTAGCCAAACGACTGAATTTTAACAGTTGAAGTCGAAGCTGTGCAAAGCATCACCACGGGCAAGCCCGAAACCACGGCTAAGAGCTCAGGGCCTTGATCCTCTGCTGCAGACTCCGCGAACAGTCCGAGCTACTAGCCCGCCCCCCTAGGAATCCATTCCCCGATTGTGGCGAAGGGAGTGTTCCCGGAGGCTGACAAATACACTTTGTCTCTGAAACTTCCGGACGGGGTAGGGGCGGGGTGTCCTGCCCCCACATCTCCGTAAATCCATGAGGACTGCACGGCGGTCGAACCACCCCTAGATGCTCATCGCAAGCGCGAAAAGGAAGCTAGCGCAAGGTCCTTCTTCCGTTTTTCGCCGGGTAGGAGCTCCTCCTCCAGGTACTTGCCCACCTCAAGCAGAGAAGCGATCCCTTTCAAGCACACGCATGCACACCTTGACCGGAGCCCCACCTCTGTGGAGTGGCGGTTCTTGTGACCTTGCATTGGATCTTTCCGATTGCCTGGGGTTCAAGAATTCAGAACAGCGCTAAAGAAATGTTGATGCCGATCGAATTCTAAAAGAGCGAAGGTGCTTGTTTCACGTAGCTACATACACACTAACCCGGCACATTCGCCAATGGCACCCAGTCTTTTAGCACCTGTGGGGCCTTTGGAGTAGTGAGTTGAGTAGAGTGTGTGTGGGCAGCGGGGACTCGAGCCCAAGCAAGTCTTTCTTGGAGATTGCAGCTTAACCAAAGCTTTCAGGAGTGTATCCACGCATGTCCGCGCACAATGTACAGAAATGTTTGACATGCACCGAGAGAGAAAAATGTGTTGCAAAGCTCCAGCGGACCCTGCCCCAAAGCTAGAACCTGCTTGCTACTCCCATGGCAACTTCGGCAAAAAAGCCGTTCTTGTCACAACGAAAAGGACACACGAAGGCTTGTTCAAGTCATGATCTGCAGAAGTCTTCGATGTGCACTCACTTAGGGCAGGGACTAAACCAGGTGGCCACAGGATCAACCACCTGATCCAGTGGACCAAGCTGCACACTCTCGGCTGGCAAAAGAAGCACTTGTGCCACGTGGCCTTTTCAACTTTTGGCTTGTTCATCGCCTCGACTGTTTCCTTGAAGGGATTCTTGAAGACCTTTGCAACCGAATTGGAAGCCCACTGATCAACGGCCTGAAGGCCCAGCCTCCATGCGAACGAGCTGGATCTCTTTCACCGGCTTGTCTTTTGGATCCGTCTCCCAGTTGTTGAAGACCTCCCTGCGAGCAAGTATCCCGTTGCACTCTGCGCAGCCCCAGAAGTTAAGCCACCGACAAGAGCTTCAGACCTCCCACCACTCGGCCAAACCTGCGCTGGGCAATCCATAAGGAGCCAATGCCTCCAGCGGACGCTAGGGAGCCATGTTGCTCAGATCCTGACACCGAGTGCTTGTTGTTCAGGTGTTCGCAGGACTTGAGCGAGACGAAGAATTGACTCCTGCTCCATTCACAATGCGGTCCGGACACCAGGCCAAACCGAGAGGCAGCATCCTGTTCGTGTTCTTGCCGTTGTTGGCCATGCTGAGAACCTTAAGCTCGCCAAGGTCTTTCGAAAAGACACAACATCTGACGATGGCCGGCGTCGCTAGAGTCGAGAAGCTCCGGGTCCCTGGTGAACCAGTCGAGAGTCGAACTCGTCTTTGAAGCCCTTGCCGCCTCACCGTTCTCATGGCTACACAACGACTCACACTTCTCAACGAAGGTCTGGGAATCGAGTTGAATTATGTCTGCGCGTTTCGTTTGGGTTCGGTATGTCGTCTTGTTTGGAGCAAGGCCACGCCGCAATGCATGCAAAACGAAGCCAATCGAAGCCGGAAGCATTTCCATGATTCCCCACAGACAGATTTGGAGAAACCTCGGGAGCAAAAAGCATAGTACCCCATGAACTTTCAAACATCCGGAGCCAGAAATACGGCAAACCCTAAATTTAGAAGCCCCGGAAGCCAGAGTATAGTAAACAAGAACACGTTTTCCCAGAGATGCAACGACCAAGGGACACGAACACATAGCAGGGACAAGGCGGCTGACTTGAACCACGGGGAATGGGGGGGGTAGGGGGGGAGGTAGGGGGAGGTGGGGTTGTGGGGGGTACCATATATTCGCGCATGTGTTCGCGCGTACACGGTTGCAGCCCGTTGGATGCAAACTCACAAACT